CAGTGATAAACAGTCCCCAACACTTTTTTATTCGAGACGTGGATGCCATCAGGCGTAGATCAGGTATATATCACTTCCTCTAGAAATCCAATTATACGCCATGTAGCTACAGTTGGGGCTACATTTGTCACTTGAGGCTGATGTCTTGTTGCCAATAAGTGGCTCCATGACTGTGACCTGTTACTGACATGCAGATGTGTTTGTGCCATAACTCTTAGCGAGTGTCAGGAACTTGGGCTAAACTGAATAATGTAAATTTCTTTCAAGCTAATTTTAAGGATAATGGATAATTCTCTTCATCAAAACTCCACACGCAATTGTTACGCAAAAAATGGCATTGTTAATTAAAAATATCTCAATCCCTATTACACTTTAAGGTTTAACTCCAAGACAAATGCGAGATAAGATAAATGCCATAAATGCAGCTGCCGATTCTGATACATCTCCACACAGGAGCATTGATTCGGGGTTTATTGGGAATGCTGAGATGGAAGAGGAAGGAGAAAAATCATTTTAAAATACACTAAGGTCTTTGGATCATTCAGTGCAGGGCTGGGCTCGATCTACCATAAGCACTAACCCTTGATTTGTAAGCCAGATGTAAAATGTTTCATCATTGGATGTCCTCCTAGAGCTGAAACTGGGATGGAAACTGGCATCACTGAGGGCGCAGTCTCAATTAATTTGAATTGAATTCATGTTTTATTTATATAGCACAAACAACATTTGTCTTAAGCTGCTCTTTATCACAAGGTAAACACATTAGAATATTAGAGAAAGAGCTTCAACAATTAGATGATCCACTATAAGAACTATTTGGTGAAAAGACTAAATTCTTAAGTAGAAAATAAACATTAATTAAGGCAATACAGGTAATCCAAGCAATATTAATCCAAAGAGAGCGCACAGTAGGGTGGACAACAAGGAGACACTATAACTTGGCAAAGAACAGGTTCATATTGAAGCTTTGAGTAGACACAGGAGGTAATCAGGTAGAATGAAAACACCTGGGCAACAGCACAATGCTAATTTCCTCTGCTACACGTCGATTGTGCTTGTTTATATGTTCTCAAGATCACTGACTTCTAGTATCAATCTCTTCTGTCAACTTCCCACACAAGACCTTATTAATCATGTAAATTCTCTGACTACCTTACGATAGCGACTAGTTGTTGTCACGTTGCCCCGCCTCATTCGTTTATCGGTCATTAATCTCCCGGTGGTCAGACTGATTACATCACAGTTTCTTCTCACTGGATGGGGCAGAAACTTTGATCACTATCATTGCAATAAGATTTCATCACCATACCCACAAATCACAGGCTGAACCGCGAAAACGGTTTAAGAGTGTGCAGCTGACTGATACAACGAAGATAAAGAAGAGGAAAGTGATGGAAGATGCTGGCATCCATCCACTCCTCCCAGTTCATAAACATGACCCGTGGATGATCCTCCTCTGGTAGAGATGGGATGGCCTGCGGCTGCAGGTCTGTAGCTGCATGTCACAGCGACAGTGTTGGCTCTGTAAACAAGCACCGCAGCGGCGTGTGCCCATACTTGTGTGACTGAGGTTCTCTGTGGGTTTGAATCTGGACCAGGACTTGAAAGTCTTTGGGCTGTGTGTGCTCTTGAGACTACACAAGGCATGTGTGTAGTCAGGGATTGAGCCTTTCCTCTTCTCTTTTGTTAAATCCCATCAGATTAGAGCGGCTTTGAGGTCTGGCTGTTAGTCACGCCACAGCAAACTGGTTTCTGTCTCACTGTTGTTTGGTTATGTCTCAATGCCTATTATATCTTTATGTTTTTTTATTATTTGCCTGCGGTGATAAAATATAATGTCACAAATTAGATGCAACAGGTTTGAGGTTTTCCTTGTGAATAAAAATGTTTGAAAAGGATTCTCTAACATGATGCAGGGTTTGCTTCATCAGGGCAGCCTGACCCTTTGCTTTATGTATGCCCCCTCTATCCACCATTCAGGAGTCTGGAACTCCCACACTTTGACTGTAACTAAGCCAATACTCACTGTGATTTTATGCTTTTGACTTTACAGGACCAGCACGGCCGTCACTGCCTGTTGAAGAATAAAATATGCTTGTTACTGTACAGATTGTAAAGCCAGAAATATATGTACAGAACATTTTTAAGTCATATTGACATTGACCCTTGACCTTATACTTCATCTTTGAGGCACAGTGAAAATGTGAGCCGCATTTCATGATATTCCCTCAAGGTGTTCCTGAAATATCACATTTAACACATTATATGTAGAGTGACATTCAAAAACAATTTTCATGATACCTCAATCTAACCTGGTTAGACTCATGGATCACAGTCTGGCTTTAAAGCAGGTAAAATGAGCTTACAACACTAAAAAAAAAAAAGGTGCACAATCAAGGAATATTATGGTCACGACAGACAGTCTTTCTCAAAAACCACTGGTCAAGAAATTACTATATAGTCACCTTGGTTGATCTATTCATCCAACCCCACCCTCCTCCACCGTACCTTTACCTTGTTGTAAGGACAATACATGTTTCATGGATTTGTGCTGTTGTTGGTCTCTTTTATGAGACTGAACAAGCACCACATATTTATTCAATTCAATTCACTTTTATTTATATAGTGCCAAATTACAACGACAGGCAGCTCAAGATGCTTTATAGTTTAAGGTAAAGTCAATAATAATAGAAACAAGAAAAGAAAGAAAATCCCAACAATTGGGGCGACCGTGGCTCAGGGGGTTGGAAAGCCCAGTAGGTCGCCAGTTCAATCCCTGGGCGTTGTGTCCTTGGGCAAGACACTTCACCTACCGCCTACTGGTGATGGCCAGAGGGGCCGATGGCGCGATATGGCAGCCTCGCTTCTGTCAGTCTGCCCCAGGGCAGCTGTGGCTACAACTGTAGCTTTGGGTGCCTTGAAAAGCGCTATATAAATGCAATCCATTATTATTAAAGGCAGAGATTAAGAATAACTGATGATCAAATGCAAAGTGCTGTATAAACACAGAGAGTGAAAATGAAGGGTTGAGGGTCAACTAATCCACCCCTGACTATGAGCTATATCAAAAAGGAAACTTTAAGCCTAATCTTAAAAATAAAAAAGGGTTGTTTCTGTCTCCTAAATCCAAAACTGGGTTTCACAAGAGTCTTATAGCTCTGCCTCCCATTTTACTGAGAGTTCTACGAACCGCAAGTAAGCCAACAGTCTAAGAGTGAAAACTACAAAAGATGGCCGCAGCCACCATGATGTCACCTATTGTTTTGTATTAAAGCCTCTTGTTATGAAGCCTTAGGATCAGTGTTTTCAGTGTCGCCATCTTTTTTTTAACTGGACATGTCGAGCTAGGGTAGAGCTTTGCTTTTTCTTTTTATACCCTCTGAGGCCACTGCCATTATATGGTATATGGAGAGGTTTGTATAGGAGTCATGTTTCTTGTGCCATGTTTTAGCATAGACTGTATAAGATCCTAGTCCTCACATGATCCATGCCCTCACACTTTCCTGATGTGTTTATGGTCTTGTATCAAGTCTTACTGAATATGAGTTGATGTTAATTTTAAAGTCACAATGCAGGATGAAGACTACTGTATGTCGTTTCTCTCTCAGATCCTCTCCTCATTTATCACACCTACATACTGATGGCCGAAATGCTTTAAGATGGGATTTTACTGACCAAATGGTGACATCCTTTACATCTGTATCTTTTAGAAATCGTTTCTATTAATTCTTTTAAATCTTTTGTTTTTTTACATGATACTATTCTCTGGTTGAATGTAAAGCTTAAGTATTAAGAATCCTTTTAATTAAAGATGAGCTTAGTCTGGTTTGCTGGTCATGCCAAGCTAAAATGACGTTTTTTCTTTTTTCTTCTTCTTTTTTTCTGATAATAGTTGGAAAAGTTTTGGTTTTCCTGGGCTTCTGCTGCACAACAATGATTTATATAAAGTATAAGAATGAATCCCAGCCACATGCCGCTAATTAGCCACCACATTATACTGAGTGTAGTAGAAGTTTTTTGTTTTAAGTGTGTGTGTTTGTCGCTGATGATGGTCTTCTGGTGGTCCTCCTTCCAGCTGCTCCTGCAGCTTTGCTCACCTCTTGGCTGGTGGTCAATATTGACTCAAGAATCGAAGCAACAGCCACTTTATCAAGTATACAGGGGGGCTGACCTGCTATCTCTATGGCATCAGGTGGAAACACAAAAACTCTGGTCTTCATTTGTCTGAACTAAAGCAGGTAAGAAAAAAAAATTAAAATGCAGTAAAGTTCATCACAACATCATTTTACAATACTGGTTCCTCTAATTGCTATATTCAGTATTCTTAGTATTAGTACTGCATTTTATTTCTATGTTTAAATGTAAGAAACTGGTTTTTGTTTTTTTTAATTTGCCAACTTATCCTAATTTTGGCTGTAAAGAAATCTAAAAAGCTTTTAAAAGAAAGACTCTTGCCTGCTAACATGGGCAAAGAGGTTGACAGCAGTGCTGCAGTCAAGCAGACTGACTGAAAGTAAATGAGCCAAAAAACACACTCAGGCATGAAGAGAAAGCTGCTCTTCAACGACAGGAGAGCCAGACAGATGTTTCTGAGGTGAGGTGTGGTGTACTCTCAGAAACATCTGTGTTCCTCACTAGAACAGAAACAGATTCACTCTTTTCACACATTTATTAAAACTCCAACTCAGAGTTGCTAAAGGCTTACTGTCACCATTAGACCCAAGAGGACTCAACAAACAGGGACCGTTTCAGTGTTTCATTTCACTTCTCTAGAATAAAGCATCTATTTTTTGTGAGTTTTTGTACCTGAAATCATTTGCACAAGTATTTCCGGCATCATGTAGTTCTTCCTGAAAGGATAACTGTACCCAAGTGTTTCAGAGAGTGTGCAAAGTATGCCGATGTTCCATCTACCTGCACAGAGAACCAGAATTTATTCCCTAGTTATGTATTAGCAGCTGTTAAACGGGTCAACTCTGGGCAGATTTGCATGGCTCTGACAACAGCTCGTGAGTTTTCAGGATGGCTAAGAGTTCCAAACCAGTGGTTCATTTTGCATAGTTCTGTGCTGAAAGCAGAGATGCATAAGACTACTTTTGTTTTAGGCTAAAAACCTGTATGTGGATGTGACGCTGTGACTTTGCTTTGCACCTCTTGTTGGACTCGCTGCTGTCACCTAGTGAACGATGGGACTGCTACAAGTACATCACACAGGTAAGACTGCAACATACCATACCATGCAGCCACAATCCTGCATGCTTTTCTCTTTTTCTGTCATATTGTTTCCGATCTGTCAACTTAATCTCTTTTTTTTTTTACTAATATTTAAAAATGAAAAGCTCACGCACATACACACATGTATGCATGCACAGTATTATCACCCCTGACCTTATTTTGATCAGACAAACTGTGCCAGCTCCATGTAAGGTGTGTCACAGAGCAATAAATCTCCTGAGAAAAGAACATGTGAATCAGATCCAAGCCGCTGGCTGCTGTATTCAGCGGGACGTCAAACACACGCCTACAAGGAAGAGTTTCTGAACATGATAAGACCTTTCTTTATTTAGCAGAGTATTTCAAAATGAGACTGCTGCTATTCTCAGATTAAATCATTAGGCCCTAAATACTTTTGGTTTGTGAGCCCTCTTTGTGTTCTTACAAAAATGTGCACATTTTAGTGTGACCTGTAGAGAGCCACAGATCTGGAAATGGCTAGAAAGCATTACAGAACTATTAACATCCTTCTCTGTTTAAAAAGGGTTTAAGACAACAGCTGCTACTAAACTATGTTGGATTATGAGCTCTGTATGACAGGGATTTCTCAAAAGCTTTGCATTTGAAGTCAGTGCTTTATTAAATTCACACTTCTATTTCCATGTGCCACTGCAACAATATAGATAGTAGATGTATATTTATATGTGTTTTGTGCATTTTATCTAGTGTTTAGGCCTCTATGTAAAAGGTCTGGATAGCTTTTGGGGAGTCCCATTTCACACATGACTATTTTATATGTAATCATGTCTGTAAATGTTACTTAATTGATTTATGAATAAACTACATGAAACTGTGGAATTTCAATGAAACCATTATTCAGCCTGTGGAAAGTTTTTTTCTATTGCTATGACCAAATTCATATAATATGCTGTCCAGCAGTGGATTGCTTATGTCTTTCCACCTTAAAATATATTGTAAATAACTATATTTCAATATTGAGATATTCAACTGCCTTATTTTAGTTTTACCATTACTATCATTTCTCTGTTTGCACGCCAAAGCCTTTTTTGTAAGTGTATTTAAACCACTGACAAAGCGTAAAGTCACACCTGTAGCTGAGTACATGCTGAAAAAATTTGCGGACGTTCACTGGAAAAAAATCATAAGAATTAAGAAATGTGGCAAGCTTGAAGTTGCCAAAGCTATAAATACTGTTATTAAAACTGACTGCAGCACATGCTTAAACAAAATGCTTTTTTAAATTGTTTGAGACCTGAAGAGATGCAATATTCAAATATACTGAATGGTTTTTGTGGACTTGGAAATGATCTGTGACACCCTTGTGGGTCATCTTGCGGCCCCTTTATGGGACCCAAGATTCACTGAACTAAATCACTTTGAGCTTTACACTCAGCCATCGATCAAGAGGCTGCACGCTTTAAAAGTGTTCATTTCTGAGGGTAAAGTAAATACAAGCAACATCTTCTGGTATAATAGTTAGTATAATACTAGTATTATACTAGAGGCATCTATGTGTGTAAGGGGACATAAACTATAGCTTTAAAGTGACCACAAAATTTCCAGCTTAAAGTTTAAAGAAAAAGTGTGCATTAGAAGCAGCGGTGGGTGAAATATTTTAGTTTAACAAAAGCTAAATAACTAAACATGATTAAAACACCTCCTTTTACTTAGTTCTCATTTTAATTTCAGTTTCAGTACATTTAAATATACAGATTAAACTATTGTCATTCAGCGTTTTCACTATTTGAGCCACTGTTTGTATTTCAGTAATTAAATCTATAAAATTAATGATAATGGTTAAAACTGGTAAAGTAAAACAAAGACTGGGGGATATATAATTATTAGATGTAATTAAAAGGGCTAAACGAATTAAGCAAATAAAAATAATAGATTTTTAAAAAATCAAAATTAATAAATAAATACAAAACATAGAAGTAACAGCAAGAAAGACAAAGAAAAAAGAGAAAACTCCACTGTGGCGTTAATTGTTTCAGATTTAGGTCAATTCACCGAGTCAGGATCACTACAGCAGGATTCGGCTGTTTGTTAGTTATGTGTGTTACATGCATCTGTCTAACGTCTCAAAGAACATTATTTTGTTCTATCTCATGGACCTCTTGCACCAACGTAACCCAACTGTTACTCGTTGGGGGATTGAGTTTGAGCCATCTAGCTGCGATACACTTGAGTGCTACGGTGAGCAGTATTCTTAGAAAATATTGTTTTTGCATGTAGTGGCCACAGACTGTCTCTCCTCTGGTATTTGAACCAAAAGTGCCACAGTCAGATCCAGCAGAACATGTGTCACCAATACGTGACCGACACTGTCACATGTATTAGCTCATAAGACATAACAGACATAGATTTTATTTAATACAAATTCAAATTCATTCAAATTCAACTGTTACAGCAGCACAACGAATGGGAAGAAAAGTGAAACTGATATATTGGAGAAAATTTTAAAAAAGAAAAAAGATAAATAAATAAATATGAAAAACTAGTGTACAAAAAAAGACCAAAATGCTACACTATGTACAGATGGTTACTATATTCAGAAGAATACAGTCACGTTATTAATGTTATTAGTATTATTTGTATATGTACATAAAGTGCAGTGGGGGTGATAATGATTTGCATCTATTTTTAGACAGTATTAAGCCTGTGTGGATATTTTATAGTCTGACTGCTGTCGGGATAACGACATCCTCCTCTCACCCACCTCCTCTGTGGGGTCTAGTTGACTATCCAGAACCAAGCTGACCCTCTTCACCAGTCTATTCAGCAGTGTATTACCATAACTAACTTCCATTTGAATTCTCTCCATGCATTGCAGGTTATTAGGTGCATTTTTGTCCCACCTATCCTTTCATTTGAGCTTCCTATCTTGTTTTTATCCAATGTGCATTATTAATATTAATAATATTATTAGTGTATATTAATCGCCCTGGTCCTTAGTTTTATATGTCAGGTAAAGGTAAATTACTGGAGCATGTTCCAGGGCTCTTGCAGTGCTCCCTCGACTTTTCCTCACACACAGGAGGACTACAACAGATATGGATGGATAACCTCCTTGTGTCTCCTCTGCTGTAACAACATGTATGGCCATCCTGAAGGGGTTGTCTAGTTGTTGCCCCTCCATTGTACCTATTGTCACTTTGATTTGCACCAGAGTAGCTGAAATTGATTCAAGCTGTTGAATGCTTTCTAACTGGGCAGTATGTTATGTTACTTAAGTTTAAAAGAATTGTTCTTATACTGTGATAATCAGGTTTATTGCCCCAAAAAAACGGGGAAAAATCAGTGTCTATTTTTCATTGTAAAACTTAATGTAAATGAAAAGCAGAAAGACTATATTTTGTCACCTGTATTGATCAGTGTCATGCAAGGACTTAAGGTACAGCCAGAAATCAGACATAGGCTACACAAGATTTTGTCCTCTTTTCATGGCTGCCTCTCTGCCCGGTGTTTTTCTTTCTCCTGGTCTCCGTGACTAAAAATTCAAAAGTAATTACCTGCTCGGCTTCCTCTGCAGGTTCACAGCACCCTGATTAATGTAGAGGCACGCACACCTGCCATTAGCGGCCATGAGAGGTGGAATGTTCTGACAGGACACATTCGCTGCTGCCGAAACCTGCGCACAGAGTTACACAGAATACATACACTCAGTGGTCATACAGTCACATTTCTGAAGGTAACGTCAACTTCATAAAATCCAAACGTTATTGAACCAGTTTTCAGTGTTTCTTTTGTGTTAATTTTACAGTGTAGTATTGCACACTAATTCCCAGCTTCATGTTTTCACTGGGGACACAGTTACTACTTTATTTAAATGTGTAAAGGTTTACTTCACTTGAGTTTAAATTTAACCTAATTTTAACCCGCTTATTCTATAACATACCATGATTGTTGCTGCACAGCAGTGAAATGCTGGTGATTTCTCTGTATTATCGTAGGGTTTTTACCGTTAGAATATAAAGCACCTCAAGGCGATTCCTGTTGTGATTGTTGCTAAATAAAAATAATTGAACTAAATTGCTTTTGGGAGTATTTCTTTGCTCTAAGGGTTGTCTGTCTCGGTGCTTGGCTCCAGTGTCCACTTCCTGTAAGATAATGTGTTTTAGATCCACAATAATGAAAATGTGACACCCTATCCTGAGAATTAGCCTCAAGTTAAAAAACTTTTAAATTCTAAATAACATTAATTTTAGAAATCTAAAACCACTACTACATCAGTTTTATTAATAGCAGTACCCGTTGGCCTAAACGTGCCACGCTTTGCAAATTTAGAAAAATGCAGCTTGGTTGTGTTTGTATAACAACCACGGCCTGGTTCAGGTGCTGGATCCTGCTCTTTAAAAGGAGCTGAAAATAATTTCTGATTTTTTGTCTCTTTTTTTTGCCCATTTGTTATATGTGCAAGAGCAGATTTTAGATTACTTCAGCATTTCCAGGTTTCAGTGGGGTTGGAAAAAAATAAAATATAATTTTAAGCACCTCAAGCAGCAGTGGGCTCTGTTAAGTCAGAGTTAACAAAACAAAAGAAACACTTTGAAGTAGCAGGAAGAGCAAATACTGCAATAAGTATATGGACTTCATACTTTCAAAGAAATCATATTCTTTACTCTGCTTCAGTTTCTTTTATCATGCAGATAAAGATTTTACACACCAACCTTGCAACCATCTATAACTGGATTGGTGTCACATAAACTGACAAGCACTGTATACTCTTTAAACTAGCACCACGCACGCAGGCTGAATTTCAAATACTGGAGTGACTACATGTTTATATCTGCACAGTTATGTTTTCAAGCCTGAAGGCAAGTGATGGCTGTAGTAATATATCAGCCATCACATCACATTGTTATTTCTTATGTATGAATGATATGTGGATTTATTATAGGCCTGTTTGACAAGTCAACCTGACATGTCAAATAAAAAGCTTTATTTCTGTTGATCCCATGACATAATAATATTATGTTATTACAAAGTTATTAACATAATAATAAGGCCTTTGGTTTGCACTTCATTTTTACTGATGATACCTTTATATTTTTGACTTAAGTGATGTGACCTTGACCTGCAATCGAGTTTTTTTTATGCTGTGCTGTTCATACTCACTTTTGTAAAAATTCATGACTGTAGCCATGTGGCCAAGGTTGCTGTCAAGGTTGCTCCTTCGTTCACTTAGAGGTGAACTCTCCCATCTCTCCTCCCGCTGTCCAAAACCCATAGATTTTTATTTTGGGTAATAAATGTGCCAATACCACGAAAATGTGACAGTAGCAACAGTAACCTTTAGTGTGAAGATCATTTTTTCTGTCAGCAATTTATTTGCCTGGCTTGTCAGATGCAGTAGCGGGTTATCGGTCCAAGTCTATAAGCTCGTTTTATTTCTTTTTTGTTAACAGTTAATGTATAACCGGGTGTACAAGGAATCAGCACATTTCCTTTTACCGCATGCACAGATCGATGCTGGTGTGGCTTCGCTGCAAGGGAGCTAAATGGGATCATTGTCAGGAGAGCAACGCTTCTCATGCTGGCTGGAAAAGAGAAACTGAATATACATTTACAGGTGTAATCATGTAGTACTGAGTGGTTTGGGGGTGTTCTTACAGTAAACTAAAGAGAAATATAACTCCAATTATTTAAGAAAATGCCGAGAATTAAGAAACGTCAGCCTCTCAGGTTTCTCTGTGCCAGCCTGTCATGATGAGCCCCGATCTTTCCAATAAAAACTGTTTTTACTACAAACATGAACTTTGATAGCAAAGGCCTCACAGGAGCTCCTCTGAATCCACTTTGTTTATATAAGTCAGCTTTTGAACAATTAAA